TCCCTTCCCTTCCCTTCCCTTCCTTTCCCTTCCCTTCCCTTCCCTTCCCTTGTTCTTCGCTCCTTCCCTTCTCTTCCTTTTTTTTTTTTGTTTTTGTTTTTGACAGGATCTCAAGTAGACTAGACTGAATTCTACTGTCTATATAGCCAAGAATGACCTTCAACTTTTGATTCTCTTGCCTCTGCCTCCCATGTGCTGGGATTCATGGTACTAAGCAAGCCCTGCATTCTCCTATTCCTCACAACCTTTGGGGCGTTTGACAGGGTTCCTTTAATGTATTTAGGAATTGTGACGTGATCATCAGGAAGAGTTAAGACAAGGACAGGATGGGACTAGATGGGACACTATGTCCCAGGACTCTTGTGGCATTGAGATTTGTAGTATCATCTGATAAACGAACCATGACTTCAGTCACTGGGAAATTGCTTAGTATACAGGCTTCAGAAGCCCAGTAGTTCATCTCTATGTTGGGAAGAGCAGTAACTAGACTTTTCAGTTTGAACTCTCCAGGTTTCTGGGCATCACTGTTTCCACAGCAACTTAGACAACCAGAGCAGATTCCTTTATCATTTCCTTATCTGGCTCCTCTATTTACTCTCACTTGAGGTTGATTTAGCATCTTACAAGAACCCAGCCTTGTCTCCCAGACATCATTAATCTTTCCTTTCTTGTGCAGTGTAAGTGTGAAATTAATCAAAAAGCAAAGGGAAATTAATAACACATTGGTATTCACAACTCATCTGAAACCTCACAGGAGGTATGAAAATCCCTTCTCTGAATTAATGACCCCCTCAACAGGTTAAAGGTATGTACAGTAAAGTTATTTGGGAAATGTCCCTGTGTTCGCTTTGTTTTGGTAATTAGTCAGTGCATTGTCATGAGGTCACTGAACGATCCCCAGAAACATTCCACTGGAGTTCCTCCGTTCATATATATGGTATAGAAATGAGGGCGCCACATCATTGCTGCGGACTGGCTTCTTGTCAGTTGTGGGAGGTTTGCCCCAAGAGATGCAGTTT